TAAGAATTCTGATTAATTTTTCCGAAACAAGCTACTGACACTACTTCAAGCATGTACATTTGTGAATAAATTCTTTATCTTGTTTTGTTAAAATTACCCGTGTGTTTCCTTGTCATTATCATCCGTCATTAATCTTCTTGTAATGGATAAATCAACTGTTTACATTAGCACCTAAGCCACACACCACCATACAGTTACCCAGGTATTCTTACCATATAGAAATGGAAATTAGCCCTCACAACATAGGTTTTTCATTTCATTTTCATTCAAATTGTGTCTATGTATGTTTGTGTGTGTGTGTGTGTGTGTATATATGTATATTTTAATTCAATGACAGACTGAAAACTTCCAAGTCTAAATTGTTTATCCATTTAAAATACTACATGTATCTCTATCTATAAAAGGTAGGGTGTGTGTGTGTGTAATGAATGCACGGCCGCAATTTTCGACTGATTTGCACCAAAATTTACATGCACATGCTCCAAGTTAGTGGGAAGGCCAAGACTGACTTTGCATTTCCCAACTCCCATCAATAGTTGAAATAATCGATTTTTCATGCTTCTACGACAATTTTCATGTAGTTTGCGGCCATTTTATACTGGCCAGAGTGAGAGCCTATAGCTGGCTGCCACGAATAGGCAGGAAGATTCTATTGGCCGGTGTGAGAGCCAACAGCTGACTGACACAAATGTTAACTAGCATGCTAGCATGCAAAAAAAATCGATAGCTGCATTCGTGACAAGTGGGAAAAATTTAAATCTGCATGACACTTTACTCCAATTGGCTCATTTGCTTGCTTAAACTCAACATTAACATAACATTAACTTAACATTCTTTTTTCATTCGGTTTTTCCAGTTACGAGTCCTTTTTTAAAGCTGATCGTTTTGTGTTCATTTTGTTTAGTTCTTTTTTCGTAACAGATTTAATGTTTAGTATAGAGCTTAGAAAAAATTTGCAGCGTGAGATAGGCAAGAAATAAGGCATGTAGCAACATCAGCACTGCAAAGGGCACCCCTTTAAAGGCAAGGAACGGCAAAAATATTTTAAGTCAAGTGATAGCGATTACTGTATGAGTCGTACGATTTTTGAATCAAGCACGGGCAACGCCGGGCCATGCTGCTAGTTAGCAAATATATTCAGTTTAAATACAACTTCAAAAGGAAAAATTCTGACAAAAAATGTATTTAAGGTTAAAACTAATAGTATTTTTTATATTTTTAACACTAAAATTTCCGTCTACCTATATTGAAATAATCTTTGAAAGAATTAGAAAGTAATTTAACTTTACCTCATTGACTTAAATAATTTCTCTATAAGTAACATTCCTAGTCAATATTCTATTTTTATCTAAATTATTTGTCCATTTAAAATGTTACATTTATTACCAAATATATTCAGTTTAAATACAGAGGACTGCACATTTTGACTTATATTTTTTCTTGTTACTGTGAGTTTGTTAGCCGACAGAAAGGGAAATTAGCCCAACTGACATAGATGTTCATTTCATTTTCATTTTCATTTCAGTGTGTGTTGATGTATGTTTGCATGTTTACATACATAGTTTGATTCAACAAAGACCTGAAAATATTTCTACAAAATTTTAAAAAAAAAAACTTTAAAAAAATAATTCCTTTTATTATGAATAATTTTAAAAAAGTTCAGTAAAATCTTAATTATTTGATTTTTTTAGAGTTTAAAATCTTACATTTTTTATTTTCCTCTCTAACTTTATGATTTGATTATGCAGTACATGGTCAAGTTGTCCTGGCTGACTGAGAGGAGAATGCATTATTCCATTATCTCACTTCAAACTCAAAGCATGTGCTTGTGTATACGTTAAATGGAACAAACACATGTAAGTCACTCATGCATAATATGGGCATATGTATATAAGTACATGCAAAGATACATGCACATAATTTGTGATAAACAAAGAATAAGCTCTCTTTTTTTATAACATGAATATATAAAATATAATATATATTCCAAAACAATGGATCAGGGGACACATAATTTTCCTACAGCATACAAGTAAGGTAATTGAAATTCATATGAATATGTTGATAAGAGATCACAGGTAAAGTATCACCCAAAATGTAAACACACTTTGTTAGTAGTTCTGGTTATTACCAACAAATACTTTTATTATCTATATCTATAAAAAACAACATCTGTTGCTTTGTAACACACAAAACATAGCTTATTTCATAATGGTCTTCTTTACACATATATGATGAAAGGCCACTTACATTTACAAGTATCTCATGAGATACCAGAAGTTTGGATGACCAAAAATGACAAAATGACAATATTATCTACTATGATAAAAGCATATACCCAATATTAAAGCACAATGATATGATGGGCAAAACTTAAGTAAAATAATAAAAGTTCTAAAATAAAATTTAGAAAGCAAAGCATTTGATGTTTATGCTTGAAATTAGAATGATTTTTCTTGTTTTTTTTTTTTTTTAAATGGTATCACCCAAGGCAGTAAATTCACTAAAGCAGAGGGGGTTACAGGGTGTGGAAGAATTAGGAACAGAAAAATTAATGAGCAAGGAGAGAAAAGAGTAATCAGGAGTACAGTAGATAACGAGTGATATTGCATTTAAATTTTTCAAGATTAAAGTTGGCTGGAAAGTATTGATTCTAAGCAAAAGTGCCCTTTTTGTTCCCATTTTTCTTTAAAACTTCCATGTTGCTTACATGCTCATTCCATGGTCTTCTCAGCATCCATCTTTAGAACATATGCTGTCTCAAGTCTTCTCTTCATTTATAAGGAAAATGTGCATTATTCACTTGGAAGATTTTGATATTACATAGTATTTGAGCACTCTTTATGAGTACACTAGTCTTACAAATTATTAATAGGAAAAATTGTTCTCGACTCCAACTTCAATGATTACTTTTGAACCAACATCTTAAATAAAAGACATATTTGGCATCTACATATCCTTATATTATCCTCATGATTTTTTTCTGATCTCTAGGGAAACATAGATCCAATTTTATCTCCGAGATTTCTGTGGGAGGATCTTATCTGTATCATATGAACCCACTTACAATGTACTTATTATGTGATACAATCAAATATTACAGCAAAATGTACGCAAATACACACCTATTATTATTTTCAGATGAATATGATGACAGTTAAACTTCTGAAATCAAAGTTGTCTAAATATCTCACTTGTTAAGTTCATATATAAATACATCCTACTTTTATAAAGAAATACATCCTTCCTTAATGAGAAAATATTTCCTTCCTATCTGAGTAAAGATGATGATTTCTAAACATCTGAAATATAAATCTTTTTCTCAGAGAATGAATACTGAACAACGTTTTAAAAACAGATCAACTATTTGGTGTTCAGTAATATGAATTGTATCATATTCTTAAATGTGCACATCCAAGGTTTTAATTTTCTTTATGCAAAGAACATACCAAAGAAAGTCAATCTTTTCAAAACTGTGACAGAATATATGACATTGTAACTTGAATAGAGTTTTGTTTTCTAAAGCCAGCTTTTGGCAGGTAAAACTGCTTCCATCCAATCAGTGGAGAGTTTAATTTTGTACAGCTTGTCTAGACAGTAATATAGTATTAATGATAGGAAGCGAATCAAAGCTATTATATATACTTGTCTCTGCATCACACTGATCTCAAAACCATTTAACTCCTCACGCCCAAATCCTTATACCATGGTGAAACTGCTTCAGAATTATCCAGAATCTTGCCTAATTAATCATTGATGTATTGATATTAAATCAAGTTACCAAATGTGACAGACACCTAAGAAAGACAAAAGGATATTGTGACTGAAGCATTGTTATCATGACGTTGATAAGAAAACTGGTTTAATAGAATAAAAATATAATATTAACAATGCTATGTCTCAGAAATTCAGACAAGAATTACGTCAGCTGTTATAAGATATAAAGAAAATTCACTGAAACTTCTGCTGAAATGTTAAATGAGAAAACATGATCAAGTCTTTGAAAGTGTTGTATATGTAGCATATTTGTAGTATTAAAATATTGGTGGTATTCACATTGTAGAATGAGAACAAAAATAATTTAAATTTTCTATAAATAAATAAACAGCAAATTCTGTCTGTGTGTCTGAAACCCCTCTAACTTGGGTCACAATCACTCTACATAGACATATAACTTTTTGGAATCAGGATGATGCCTTTTATTTGGTTTTTGAACATCCAGCATTAGGATTTGTTCCTGGATGAGGAGGGAACAGTTAAAAATTCAAATTTTAAAATAACTGAAAAAAATTAGTGATTTTAAAAGTTTTTAATATATATTGAGTTTAAAGTAACACAATAACTTATTGAATTTTAATTTTTTTTGTTTTAAATTCAGATTAAAATATCTCTAAAATTTTATGAATTGAGGAAATTGATTTTATTTCTCCAAAATGCCAAGGAATTGGAGTTAAAGTGAGAAGTTTTGTGTAAGAGGTTTTGAATTTCTACAGAGTTTGTGATTTGAAGAACTCAATTTTTGGCCTGAATTGGAATTTTGGTTCAAATTGGTCTTTTGGCCAGAATTGGACTTATAGACTGAATGAAAGTTAAAGTGAGACTTTGAAGTTCCATGGAGTGAATTGAGGAATTCAAAGTTATTTCTTCAAAATTATCATTGCTGTTTTCTAAGCTGGACCAGTGGTCCTTTTAGTTTTACACAGGAGCTAGCTTAAAAGTTCACATAGAATGCTTCTTTTAAACTAGTTCTCTAATAAAATAAAGAGCCCAAAAAATAGCTATCTTCTATAGCTATGTATCTTCTTTGTCAGAATAATAGTAGCTGCATAATATGGCATGGAGTCTGCAAGGTATTGCATTCATTGCTTGGGTGTATCTATCCAGGCATGTTCCAGGGCTATCCATATCTGTATAGTGTTTGTTGGATGTGGTTGCAGGAAATTTAGTAAGATGTTCTATACATGATCAATGAGATTTAAAGGGCCCAATAAAGTAAGGGCTTACAGCCATATCATGTTGAAAAACTGGTTCTCATACAATCACCAAAGTTAAACAACATCAAGCTTGGTCAGTACTGAAATGAGTGACCGTTTAGGAATACCAGGTGCTGTAATCTTGGGTGTGCAGGTGGTGCAATGGATAATGGTAAAGAATTGGAAATCAGAGAGCCAAGTTACAATTCTAGTCAGATATTCACTTATGTCCAAATGACCGTTGGGGAAAGCTATGAATCTACCTCTTCTCCCCTCCAGCTATGGCTTACTTAGTAGGACTTATATCAGTAAATTATTATTATTTCCAAAAGATTCTTACAGTCTAAAAATAGTTTCTGTCTTTAAATAACCTGCAAAATGTTGATAAGCTGTAAAAAGTACAATCAATCAATCAATCAATCAATCAAATCCTGGAGCCAGTTTCATGTCATCTGTACATGATGTGAAGGTTCCATTATCTTCCTTGAACAAGCAATTACCACTGAAAAACATGGTAAACATAAAGAGATACAATTGGTTTTGTTAAATCTATCTATATTACACCTGACAGAATGGACTTTGAGTTTAATAGTTGTCTTTTGAATTTCAACTGAATCCATCTATACCATTACAGTGCCACTGCTAATGCTCTGTTTTTAAACAGGATTCATATGGTCTCCTCTGTACACAAAGGCAATCATCTGCCCAAAAAGAGCTAGAAACATGACTCATTTGAGCACATGATACAGAACCAGTTTCCTACAGCCAAGTGGCAATGTTCTTTTGTCCACATGCAGTACAGTAATTGATACTGTGGTGCCAATAATCATGCTATTGTTGGCTGACTATGAAATATCATGGAATGAAGTGCATTTATTGCAATGCATTGGTAGATAGGTTTAACAGAACCAGTATTGAATTGGGATATAATTTGATGTAATGTTCTTTGTTGGGTGCATACAATCCTTGTAAGTCACTGTCTTATGCTTGCTTCACCTGTTGGCACCTGCAGTTTTCACATGCTACTCATGTCTATCTAGAATTTACATATTCCTGCTGTACCTTTGATACTCTTGCCCAAGATAAACCTGGCAGATGATCTCTCCTCTGACCTAACTCTAGCAGCTCAGTGGGTAAAAAAACTGGCTGGTCAAATTCAGTGCCTCAAATGGAACTTGTACATATGATCCATTGGTAAAGATGTTGGGAATATGATTGTTTCTCAGTACCACTGCAGAAAGTAGCTCACTCTACCTGCTATCCTCCACCTTTAGAAGAGCCAGATCAATTCAAATGTGGAGTACTGCTGCCATATATGGGTGGAAGCCATGCAGTCTTCACTTTCCATTCTCGATAGAGTACAAAAGTGTCTCTGCATCCTTGTAGGTGACCAGTTATTTTCCACTCTGCAACCCCTTTCTCATAGATGAGATATCACAAGCCTCTCACTGGTCTATTGCTATTTCCATGTTGAGTGTTCAGATGAATTACACTCCCCCAATTGAACTTTCATGACTAAGACCCACCATTCCATGCACATTGTAGTGAACTACCCTCATTCAGTTTATATCCTCATGTAAAGCAGCTTGTTCCCACAAATCACTGCCTTGTGGAACCAACTTCCAAGAGACTGTTTCTCTGATCACTACAATCTTAACCTGTCTAGGGTTAACCGTTATCTTCTGCCCATGTCCAAATAAGCTGTACCTCTTACTCTGTAACCCTCTACCTTGAGTGGCACTTGGAATATGTACAGGGTGAACATCACTGTAAAAAATATTTAAAAATCAGGGCAAAAATCATTGAATGTTCTGCTGTCTATAAATTTTTAGTACTTCAGTTTATAAGCATAAAATGTATTGATATATATTTTCAAATCAACTGAATATTTTGGAAAAATGGTCAGAGGACCTAAATTTTGTTTTTCTGACATCAAAATTTTATTGTCTGGAATATTGTTTGTGTTGTGATGTCTTCTAGTCTGTGACATAAAAGTTCTCCCTCTGTGCCAAGTGACAGCTGACTTATTAGTTGTCACTTAACTCTATGCAAAATAAGGCAAGTCCATTTTGCTTATGTCATTATATCTCCCAAAAATGAATCTGTGACCTCTCCAAACTATAATATGAGATCTTATCTCTCTCTCTTGTGGTATGTACCTGGTTCTTTTTATCGGGGATCTAGGTCTTGACTCATATTCATTCTGATCTTCCAGTTTCATGTTGGATTCATGCAAACTATCCTCCATAGTTTTGCTTTCTCATTCAGAAACATTCATGTTTTCCTTCCTTTTTGGTTCCTTTCTCCACATCCATCTCAACTTCTTTGTTGTCAATTCATTGATCAGAATGAACCAATACATTCTGTCCACTTGTTGTTATTATAGCCGTATTATGTCCCTTTTGTGCAATAAAGTTTGCTTTTTCAGAACTTGGTTCTCAGTCTTTTTTGTACCACTTTTTTCATTTGTTGAATAGGATATTGTTATAAGTAATCTAATTTGTTTTCCCATCAATGCAGAGGGACTGCATTCTACCAGCATTTGGAATAGTTCTATGACTCTGTAATAGTCTCGGTAAGTAACTATCTATAATGTCTCTGGATGGGGAAAATGCCCTTAACCCCATTTTCACCATCTGCACCATTCTTTCTGCAATTCCATTGGATTGCAGATGGTATGGTGGTGTTTTATAAGGGAGGCATCCAATTTGTTTTAACCACAAACACAAAATTTTATCACAAAATTCTGATGCATTGTCAGAGACTAATGTTTTTCGCAACCCATTTCTGGAAAATATTACTCATAACATTTATTTTATGATAGCTGCCTTCCTATCCTAAACTCAAACCACTTCAGGCCATCCAGAGAATGAGTCAACCAAAATTAAAAATAGTTCGATGCCTTTAACATGTTCATGATTCATATAAACTCTATTTTTTCTTTAGGCCATGAATGTATATTGATTTGGCAAAAGTTTTTTATTTCTCTACATTTTGGGCATTTTTATATATATTTTTCTACATCATGCAAATACCCAAGCCATCATACTTCCACTTTTAATCATCTCTGTGTTGCTGTTATTCCACAATGAACATTATCATGTACACTTTTTATTACATCTTTTCTTAATGTCTTTGGTAGTATCAAAATATCTCCATTGTATATAAAACCCTTTTCTATGGTTAACTTGTGCCTTATCTCTTTATAGAGTCTCTCTGCCTTAGAACACTCACTCCATTTGTTTCTTTTTATTCGACATGCAATCTTACCTAATACCAGACCCTTCAAGTTTCAAATGCAAAACAATCTAAGGGTAATACATCTGCTTCAATCCAGTGCAATATTTTATCTTCTGAATTATCTGATCTTTCTAATGGTTAATTGTTGAACTTTAATCTTGATAGAGCGTCTACATATGGAATAGTGTTTCCTTTCATATATTTGATGTTAAAGTCATAGGCCATGAGCTTTATGGTTCATCTTCAAATTCTAGAAGATATAACTTTAGGTAACTCCTTCCTGAGGTTATAAATAAAATCTAAAGGTTTAAGGTCAGATTTAAGCAGAAATTTCCTGCCTAATAAAAATTGGCAAGTTATACCTGTGCTCCATAATGCTTCTTTTTCACTATTTGAATAGTTAACCTTAGCTTATGTTAACCTTTGAGAAAGATACATTATATGATGACTCTCTTGAGAAAAAATTGTTGATATGGCACACTCACTTGAGTCCCTAGTCAAAGTCACTTCTTTTTTAGGGTTAAAAATTTTTACAACAAAAGTTCTTTCTTTAAATTTTCAAATGCTGTATTTTGCAATTGAATCCATTTAAATTCATTGTTCTTTTTTTATAACTCTCTAAAGAGTTCTATCAGTTCACTGTACTTTGGCAAATATCCGCTATAAAAATTGGCTGACTCTAAAATTGGTTCTAATTCTTTTTTTATTTGTAGCTGTAGATACTTCTGTTATTTTCTTTATTAAATTTATGTCTGGCAAAATTCCATCTTTGGAAATCAGATATCCAAAGATATATTATTGTGTCACAATTTAAAACACATTTATCCTTGTTTATGGTTATCTCAGCATTTTTTAATTTGTTTAAAACATAATCTGTTTTTGTTTTAGTTCTTCTCTACTGGTAGCACCAATACATATATTGTCTTGATAATCATATTCGTAACATCACCATTTAGTACATTTTCAATGGCTCTTTGAAAAATAGCACTTGTTTTTATACCATAAGGCATATGCTTCCATTTTAGTAAGCCAATTGGGGAGTTAATCGTTAAATTTTTATCAGTTTGTATCTGGTTATAGGCAGATTTGAGGTCAATTTTAGCAAAGTATTTAATTCCTGACAACTCATGAATGGCAGTTTCAATGTTAAGAATATAGAAAGAATCAGAATATATTTTGTAATTCCCACATATCCTTAAATCTCCATCCAGTTTTCATAAAACAACAATGGGTGAGGCCCAATTACTACCACCAAGGGGAACATGTTCTAAAATTCCTCACTCCACAATTGTTTTCAGTTTAGCAACTACTAAAGGTAGCATGCAAATGGGCAGTCTGCTAGACTCAAAGTATGAGGAGGTAACTATTTTCTTTTAATTGAATGCTCACTTTGTATCATTTTAACATTCTCATCTCATTACTTTCCAACTTCACACTATTAATTAATTTGGTTGTATCCACTTTTAAGACATTTATTCCCATGAGTTCATGAATTTTTTCCCATTTCACTACTGTGGTGGGAATAATTTTGAAGCATGTGTCGGTCTCAAAGGTTCTGTCAAAACAATTTAACATTTTTATGAAAGAGCCATCAAACTGTCTTAGTTTAAGCTAAATTTTCATTAATTTGTGTTTGCCCATTCATTTCCAGAAATTTGTTGGGATTATGGTGGCATCACTTCCAGTATTTACTTGCATAGGAAAAGTTATACCATTCAGTTTCATTTTTTCTCTGGCACTTTTCTCTTTATGCCTTTGTATCACAAATACAGTTGTATTTCCCTGAAGGGGGGGGTTAAATTTTCTACTCTTTCTATTTTCGTCTTATACTTACATACAGACTGGAAATTTTGTTTTTCTTTTCACAATTCCAGCATACTTGTCCTAAAGTTGGACATTTT